AAGCCCAAAAAACTTCACCAAAGAGTGCTTAAAATGCTCTTGTCTCTCATTCCTGTGCCACGCTGTGTTGTCTGTCCTGCACCACCTGGCACAAGTCTGATTGTGGAATTGCAACGAGACGCGCTGGGAATAGAGAAGAGGGGGATAAAGAGCCTGCAGAGCTGGGAGACAAAAGGATGGATATTTCCAGGCAGATGGTCAGATGTTCCTGAAAGGGCTTATGGTGATTTTCTCAAAATAAGCTGAGGGCAGGAACACAGCCTCCCCTCTCCTTGTCTTATCCAGTCCAGCTCAGCTTCCTCTGCCTCCAGAGGGAGGTTTCCCACAGATTTCCCAATCAGCTTCCCCTGTGCTGCACACACCCCCCCCGAGAGGCAGGGCCAGCCCTGGGGTCAGCCTGGCTGCCCTTCCCAGCACCCCTGTGCTGCTCTGTGCCTGGGCTGTGCTGTCCTTGTCACCTCCAGTCCTCGGATGGATGATGGATGGATGGATGGATGGATGGATGGATGGATGGATGGATGATGGATGGATGAATAATGGATGGATGGATGGATGGATGGATGGATGAATGATGGATGGATGGATGAATAATGGATGGATGGATGGATAGATGGATGGATGATGGATGGATGGATGGATGGATGATGGATGATGGATGGATGGATGGGTGGATGGATGGATGATGGATGATGGATGGATGGATGGATGGATGGATGGATGGATGATGGATGGATGGATGGATGAATGGATGGAGGGATGGATGGTGGATGGATGGATGGATGGATGGATGGATGGATGGATGATGGCTGGATGATGGATGGATGGATGGATGGATGGACGGATGGATGGATGGATGATGGATGGATGGATGGATGATGGATGATGGATGGATGGATGGATGGATGATGGATGGATGGATGGATGGATGACGGATGGATGATGGATGGATGGATGATGGATGATGGATGGATGGATGGATGGATGGATGGATGGATGGATGGATGATGGATGGATGGATGACGGATGGATGATGGATGGATGGATGATGGATGATGGATGGATGGATGATGGATGGATGGATGGATGGATGCTCCAGGGGCACCTCCAGACGGGCAGCCCTGAGGGTGCTGACCTGCAGAGGGTTCAGCTGCCACGTTTGAACACCCCACAGCACATCACTCCCTCCTGCTGCACCGCGTAACCCCCCGAAAGCCGAGATGCTTAACAAGGCGTGTGGTTTATCGCAGCGTTCCCACATGGCTTAGGCGTGCTTTGAATTGCAAATCAAGCAAGGGCTTAGTGATGATGGACACCTCGAGCAAGACATATTTTTGTTGCTTTGGTGGGCAGGTGTTTAAATACAGCTGCGTGGTTTTGTACTGCCTGTGCCTGACAGTGCATTAACTAAAATTACCGTATCAAATAACGGCGAGCGTGGCATCGAGCGAGGCTGCAGCACAGGATGCTGCCAGAGACTTCTCCCAAACTCTCTCCTGGTCATCTTCTCACTTTCTCTATAACACAATACCTCACCTCCTCTTCAAATTTCTGCCTAGAGCTTTCAAACAGACATCGGGATGGAAGGAGATGGAAGGTCAAGCTTGGCTTTGAACAGTAGAAAGGAGAGTCAACACACAAAGTCGCCTATAAAGCTGCTTTTTTTCCTTCAGTATAGCATTTTAAAATGATTCAGATACCATGAGTCACAGTAACAAGCATGGGCTGGATCTGAAAAAAAAAAAAAAGAAAAGTGCCATAAGAATATGCTATAGACTTCAGTGCCTTGTCCTGGATTCTATTTTGGAGAACTGATGACATTTGGGATTCAACCATATGTCTGGCTGAGTCTGCAGCACATACAGATCTGGTAGGTATTTGGGGGGTTAGAACATGCAGATCTGGTAGGATTTGGGATTTTGCAGCCTATAGAGACCTGGTAGGAACTGGGAGATGCAGCACATATGGATCTGGTGGGGATTCAGGGATGTGGAACATACGGCTGTGGTGGGTGCCTGTGCTGTGGCACACATGCTGCTCTGGAGAGGGAATGCAATTCCAGCTGTTCTCCAAACCCTGGGTGCTGAGGCCTTTTGAAGTGAGATTTACATAACACAAACCCTTTGCTGCTTATTTGTGCTGGGCTGGAAGGAGCCTAAAGGAACACCTTTTAGAAGGTGGTTTAAGCACTAATGATAATTTAACACAAAACAAAACCAAGAGACAACCCTTGCCAGCAAAGCAAGGTTCTAGAAAGGCAATCCTCTCTTGCTGTACAGTCTGTATGGTCAGTTCAGGTTTTTGTTTTGCTTTGCTGTCACCTTCTTTTAATTTAGAACATGCTACTTGCAGTATTCTGCCACACAGAGAGGAATAAATCTGCCTCAGCAGTGATTTAAGCAGCCACATTGATCTCTGCCCACGGTCAATACACGTAATAATGTCAGAACCTCTCACACAGTCTCCAAGGACTCAGCTTCTGTCTAAAATTTGTTGTCATCCTGCTTTGTGCCTGAGGGATAGACCTGAATCTCTTGTGCTTAGTGGGTGAGAAAAAGCCTGCTGTGAGCAGTTTCTGAGAAATGAGCTGGGGCTGGAGTCTGACGGAGTCCCGCTGTCCTGGAGTGAATATTTCTAGAGCTCCTTCAGAGCCACACAACTCTCTGGTTTTACTGTCCCCACCTTCAGCTGAATAGAGATTCTAACTACAGCAGATGTGGGACTGTTGCCATGTCTATTTGATGGGACAGCATTCTTTCAGAAAAAGAAACTGTGCAAGCAAGAATCTGTAACAAAACTAAAACTGGTCCAGAGCAGGCCAGCCAGCATCCCCTCAGAGCAGCTGAGTGCTGAGGCCTGCGCTCTCAATTCAGTTCTTGGTTCCAGAAGCAGTAATCTCACACCAAGGGACTCAAATGCCACGTTTCACCATTGTTGGAAACATGTCTGAAGATTTCAAAAGAATTTTCCCAAAATTGTGCCTTGTCTTCTGGGGATTAGCAGCTTCCCATGCTCTGGGGTTTTTTTGGGATCAGTGGAATCTGTTCATGCTCCCGAGGATCAGAGCCCCAGACAGAACACAGGTCAAGGGACTTTTTACAAGAGCACATAGTGACAGGAAAAGGGGGAATGGATTCCAGCTGACAGAGAACAGGAATAGATTGGATATTAGGGCAAATTCCTCCCTGTGAGGGTGGGGAGGCCCTGGCACAGGGTGCTTAGGAAGCTGTGGCTGCCCCTGGATCCCTGGAAGTGTCCAAGGCCAGGCTGGAGCAACCTGGGACAGTGGAAGGGAACCATGGCAGGGGTGGGACTGGAGAATCTTTAAGGTCCCTTCCAACCCAAACCATTTCATGGTTCCGTGATGAACAGAGGGAAGGGGAAGAGTTGGCATCATCTGGCACAACTCACTGCTTTCAGAGGGAAGGTCTGGAAGCAGCAACTCCCATGAAAATGGACTCTGCTTCAAAACAGACTTGCAGAAATTACTGCTTAGACCAGCTCCTGGCTGGAGAGAACCAAAGGCCAGAGCTCTGTCAGCTCAGTTCAGCATTGGATTTCTCCCAAATGCTGCATGACCATCTCCAGTGCAGAAGGGGGAAGGGTGGAAAAGTCCTGCTAGGAGCAGTTTTGTCTGGGCCAGCTATTAGTTAACATCAGCCAGTGGTTTTTGTGTGAGAAACAATGATTTTGGACAAAGGCAGCTTTCTAAACCTTGACAGATGCCAGCTCACCCTGGTGGTCTTTGGGGTACCAGCACTGGGGCTCCCAGGAAAGTGTCAGCATTTAACAAACAACGAGGGATAGGAACATTTCAACATTGCTGGAAGGATTTGGGGTGTTAAAGAACCTCAGGCTTTTAGTGGGAGTGACTTTGCAGCTCCTGGGTGTTTCTCAGGCTGCCTTGCCACTCCACCAGAGGGATGTTGTCCCTGCACTGTCAATCTCTGCCCAAAAGCTTTTCCCTCTGAAAGCCAGCACAGGAGTTTCCAGCTGTGTCATGATGCTGGAGATCATTTCTTCCTCCACATCTCCTTTCAGCTGCCTTTTCTGCTTTCTATCCATGTTTATTATGGCTTTTTACTCTTAACCTTTAGCTAAATCCCATGTCCCTGGGGCAGTGTTTTCCATCATTTTTTAACCTGCAGTTTGATCAATGCCCAGCAAGCTCTGTGGGCATCTCCTTTAGATTTCCACAAACTTCTGATGGGATTTGTCACAGCAGAGCTGCAGGCCCCTGCAGCTGATTATTTTGGCACTGATTGTAGCATGGAAGCTCCTCCTGTCAGGGCTTTGGAGCAGCCTGGTTTGGCAGCACCATGCTCTGCCTGGGAGAAGGAGAACCAGATCACCAGTTCCACAACATCCTCTGTCTGCTTCACTTTCCTCTTGCAGGGAACTCCCTGCTTGTTTCCCTGTCCCTCTGGAGAGTTGTTGGTGAATTGGGCATCCAGCAGAGCGTGAGTGCTGTTGATACCTGCTCTGGTGGAGTGCACAGCAGAAGGGACATGGAAGGCAGATTATTCAAACTAAATTAATCTGCAAAAGAGGGAGGATGACTGGATTAATTGGGAATGCTTTGGTGCTCAGAGCAGGATGGGAACGAGCGAGTTTGTGTTGTAGGAAGCCTCACAGCGTTGCATGGCTGAGCTTTCTCCCCAGAGTGGGTCTGTGGCTCTACCCAAGGAGCTGAACTCCTGTTTTCTCCTGAATCACAGTCCTCTTGTGATTTACTGCCTCACATTTTACATTACCACACTTGCAGTACTTTCCAATGTAATCAGCATTTGTCAGAGGCCAGGCCTGGCCCATTCCATCTCCCAGGAACTGACCTGACCTCTGGAGCTTGGTCTGCTTCCTGTCTTCTCCTGACCATCAAGTTAATTTTCAAAATGAAACTTTCATTCCTGCCTGAGCACAGTTCCTTTACCATCTAAACAAGCACAAGGAAATGGCTCATGCTGGCACTGCCTTTGTGCCATTATGTTAATCCTCTTTAATTGCTACTTCTGACAATTATATTTTCCTGTATTTACACCACAACTCCTAAATAAACTCAGTCCTGCTGGAGCTGTGCTGGTAGCCAGGAAGAGTTTTTGTCTGGGGAAGTCAGTCCTCGGAGCTGGCCAGGATGATTTCTCAGCAGGCAGCCTGTTCCTAGCTGGGTGACTTATGAGCTGTGCTATTTCTTATTACCTTCTGTTTGTTTTTCCAGGCTGCAAACTCTTGGCTGTGGAGCTGACATCCAGCAACACCAAGCCCGTGGTGCAGGAATTCCAAAGTGAGTGCTGCCTGTGCTGCATCAGGCCAAACAATGGAGGAGAATTTGGCTCACTGGTCACTGGTTCCTTAGGACTACGAGAGCCTGGGATTCAGAGAAGTGCCTAAGAATGTGTCTGTATCCCCCTTTTTTAAATGGTTTGTCGAGGCCCTCTGCAAGCCACCAGCACTGCAAAGTCTCTGCCTAAGTGCTTTTTTGAACTGGGTCCCAAAAGAAGGAAAAGCAGTTGCCTTGCAATTAATACACAGAGAGAGAAATTTGTGCAGACGTGCCCTGGGGCACTGGGGAGGCTCCTCAGCCCTGCTGAGGTTCTGCAGGGAAGATGGGACGCCAGTGGCAGCTGCAGAGGGGCAGGGTTTGCTGGGTTTATCCCCAGAGGTCACTGTCCCAGGGAGATGCTGCATCCCTGACTCACAGTGTGGCTCTGCCCAGCAGCAGGACAGGGCTGGGCGCTCACCCTCACCAAAGGTTTTGTTTGCCATAAGCCCCAGCCTGCAGAGAACAGAGTGTTCATTTCTCTCCAAAGCTGATATCTGCTGGACTATTATTTTTGCTGGCCAAAATCCATCTTCCAATAGCTCCTGGAACCCAGCAGCGTTTCTGTTTGTGAGGCAGATGAAAGAGAAGGCTCTGCTTTGTGGGCAGCATCTCCTAATAAAACACTGAGTGAGAGTGCTCAAAGCAGAGCAAAAACACAGCTGCTTCCTATTAATCTGGATTGCCTCCATTTCTCCTGCTAGGTGTTGAGCTGTCCTGCATCATTAAATCCACGGTGACACCAGATCCCAGAATTGAGTGGAAGAAAATCCGAAATGGAGAAACCTCTTATGTGTTTTTCGAAAACAAAATGCAGGGTATGAAGATTCCTTGTTTTCAGATTTCCAAAACAGCTTTCCAAACAGATTTCAGAAACAGTACAATGGGGAACAAACAAGCCTGTTAGAGGCAGGAGCTCTGGCTGTCTGGCTGCTTTCTTCTGGAACAGAGCTCAGCAGCTGAAGTGCAGGATGGAGAGAGAACGGGATGTTTTTTCCTCCCTGCCTCATTATTGACAGGTCACAGTAGGGAGCTGGAGCGAGATCCTGCCTAGGAGTTATTTTTTGGGTAAGAAAAGAACGATGTAGCCTCCCTTTTGTGGGTCCCAGCATGGTCACTGGGTGTGACCTCTCCTGTCTTTCCACAGAACATCTGAGGGCTCCCCCTGGGATCTGTGTGTCCAGCTGCCAGTGCTCTCTGCTGAGGCAGCACAGGGATGTGCAGCATCCTGGGAGCATTAGGAGATAGGAGATAGGAGAACTCCAGTGCCAGTAGGGCTTGAGTCCATCTGGAATTACTCCAGCACCTCAGATGGGACCAAGAGCCACATCCAAATGAATCTTCCAAAGGAGGCAAGACCTGAGGCTGTCTTGGAAGTTCGATTTTGCCACAGTTTTTGAGGTTTGGAGTGATGCTTTCCAGTTCATCCTCTTACATGGTTGGCAGCTTTGCTTTCCTTTGGGGCTTTCAAGGATTGAGTTCCTTTGACTCCAGAAAAGAGTCTGAGATCAGCCACTTAATTTATACACCCAAAACGAGTCTGGTGTTTCGTCTTGAGTCATTAGCCTTGATTGCCCTGCTTTTTTCCTCTCTCTTTCCTGTGTGGCAGGAGACTTTGCCACACGGGCAGAGATTCTGAGCAGGACGTCCCTGGTGATTAAGAACACCACGAGGATGGACACGGCCACGTACCGCTGCGAGGTGGCCGCGCCCTCTGACACCAAAACCATCGATGAGATCAACATCCAGCTCACAGTCCAAGGTATCAAACCCACAACCTCTGCAACGGGGAGCTGTGGGATCTCCAAAGTCCAAACTGCGCCACTCTGGGGATTTAAAAGCAGCTGGGAATAATGGGAAGTTTGGATGGTTTTGCCTAAGAAAGCGCAGAATTCAGGAATGATTTAATGCCACTCACCTGGTTTGTGTCTTCCCACAGTGAAACCCATGACCCCCAGATGCTCTGTGCCTAAAGCTGTCCCTGTTGGCAAGTCAGCCTCTCTTCACTGCCACGAGAACGAAGGTTTCCCCAAATCCACCTACAGCTGGTACCGCAACAGCGAACCTCTGTCACCCGACAGCAAATCCAGCACCAAGTCCCACAACTCCTCCTACACCCTGAACCCTGCCACAGGCACTCTGGTAATGCCCTGACAGATCTGATCAAGCCTTGTTTGGCTGGACAGGTTATCTTTAATCGCTTGTAAATTCAGAAAAACATTGCCTGGCTTTCAAGGAAGGGATAATTTAAAGAGGGTGAGGTGTGCCAGGGTCTGGGAGAGGGAAGATTGATGGAAGAAGATATTAGCAGAGATGCATTTTTATCCACGTTTTTATACCCTCACAGTGCCTTGTTTCTCATGTCACATCCCTTCCCTTTGTCCCTTTTCCCTCCCCAGGTTTTCCACGCCGTGCACAAAGGTGACACAGGTCGCTACTCCTGCATAGCAACAAACGATGCTGGCTTTGCCAAGTGTGAGGAGCAGGAGATGGAAGTCTGTGAGTGGCTCTCTGTAGAGTTTTCATCAATGCTGGTTGATTTATCACCATAAATGAATTGCCATCACCATCAGGGAATGAGGGGGGACATCCCACAGCGTTAAGTCTTCCCTGCTTTCTCATAGCCCCAAACATAAGGAGGTAAAAATAATCTGAAAATGCAGGGAAACGTCAGATCATTAACAGATTGAATCTTGTAGTCAGGGACTCACCAGTTCCCTGTGAACTACTGCTTCAAATACTTGAGAGATGGTATTTTAGTGTGTGTGTGAGGCTGGAATGTTGCTGCTGCCCTAAAGAAACACTGGGTGCTGGTGTCTGTCTTTGCCAGATGACCTCAATATCGGAGGGATAATCGGGGGAGTCCTGGTGGTCCTCGCAGTCCTGGTGCTCATCACCCTTGGGATCTGCTGTGCCTACAGAAGGGGATACTTTGCAAATGGCAAAGAGAGTGGGGAAAGGTAAGCTGGGCTGCTTGGACAAGTCCCTCAGGTAGTGTGGAGGAGTCTGAAGGGCACCAAAAATTAGTGGCTTAAAGGAATTTCAGTGCCTAATTCCCCACAAAAGTCCACAGGCTAAGCCAGTCCTTGAGGCATCCAATACCCTGCTGTAAAACCCTGCAGCATCCAAATTCATTTCATGGAATCCTCACAGAATCCCAGAGTGAATTTGGACCTTAAAGGTCTTCCAGCTCCAATCCCTGCCATGAACAGGGACATTTTTCACTAGACCAGGCTGCTCAGAGCCCCATCCAAACAAGCCTTGGACACTTCCAGGAATGGATGGCACTTTCCTAGGGTAGCACTGTGGTGTGGATGAGAGCTGTGCTCTGATATCCTCATCCTTTGCATAAGAAAGGGGGCCCAGCACAATTCAATGCCTGCAGGTGTTTGTCCAGTAGCTCCTGGGCTGTTGGCAAAATCAGGGCCAGGGTTTAATGATCACAGCTCCTGCACAATTAGTCTGAAGCATCAGGACATGCAGAGGGAATGGATGCAGCAGAGCAGGCTCTCCACAGGAAGTCTCAGTAGTTGTGAGGACCTAAATTTGGGATGAAAAACAGCCATTCTAGAGCGCTCATGAAAATGTTAAAAACAACAGCATTAGCATCAGAGACAAGCCTCGATGTCCTCACAGAGTCTGGAGAGGAGATAATATATGCAAAGCCAAGATTCTCACCAGATCGATTTGTTCTGTGCTAAATGTTGCTTTTCAGCACAAGTCCTGTCTTGTTTTTCTCTCTGTTTCGTTTGTTTTTCAGAAAAAAGCTCTCAATATCCCATTTAAATGCAGCTGAGGGTTGGCATACACTGGACTTGACAGTCGTGTATAAATCCTGAGCTCCTGTGGGATTGCAAACAAGTGGCGCTTCCTTATAACTAAGAAAAATGCTGAAGGCTTCTGGCAGTGAAGGATTAAAATGAACTTTATAATTGCCACAGGAAACAGAGCAGGAGGCACAGAAAGGCAGTGACAGGCACCAGAGCAGGAGAGCCCAGGAAAGAATCAGTTTATCTCTTTGCAGAGTCTTAGGGAAACACACAGCAATCTTTTCACCCCGTGCTGAAGGGGAATTTAGACAAAATCCCAGTGATGGTAAATGATGGAATAAACACAGACCTCTCATTTGAGAAACAAACTGGGTTTCTCTCTGCTTGCTTCTCACTCAGCTCCTCCTCATTTCTGTCTCTCCCAGCACCTCCCCTCCAAAATCCTGCAATCTTCCTGTCCCAGAAATGAGATTTTTCCTTTTCTTTCAGCTACAAGTCTCCAGCAAAGCCTGATGGCGTTAACTATATCCGGACAGATGATGAGGTAACAAGAAATGATTTGCATTTACCATCTCTGTCAGGAGAGGAAGAGGGTGGGCAGAGGACGAGGCGCTTTTTGGGCCCACAGACTTTGTGAGAGTGGGCTCCACTCCGAAGCAGGGCTGGGGAACAGAGGGAAAACAGAAGGGTGAAGGCTGAGTCATTTCCCTAGAAATGATGAACAGTTTAAGTTGCCTGAAGTGACTGATGCCAGGAGCTATCAGAGGCAGCTCTGAGTTCTCTCATGGCCTGACCCCCTTAGGATGAGTTTCATTGGATTAAGTGGGCAGGACGTGATGCTTTTACAAGAGAAGTTGTATTTTGGGATTTGAGTAGATCACTGAGCTTAAGACCAGAAGAAGCCTCTCCCGTTAGCAGAGATACTGAGGGAATGAGAAAGTCCCTGCCACACCTTGGTGTGTGAGGAGGACGGAGGAGGAGCACCTGGCCAGTGGAACTGGTGCCTCCCTCTCCCTCCCAGTGGGAAATGGGAGCTGCCTGGGCAGAATCCTCATGGTTACAAAGCTTGGATCTGCCTTTTGGGGGCAGCAGGAACAGAGAGCTGCCTGGAAAGCTGCTGGATCCTTCCTACATCCCAAACTGTTTCATTGCAGGGTGACTTCAGACACAAGTCTTCATTTGTCATCTAAGATGCCAAAAGGAAATTGCAAACCAGCAAAAGCAAGTGTGAAAATACCTCCTCCAGGAACTCCAAGCAAGAGCAAAAGATTAATTAAGTGCGCTTGGAAGAGTTTGGAACACACAAGAACTCGATAGCTAGCTATCTGTATATCTTTTTTTTCTTTGCCAAAGTTTAAAGTAACTCCTCACTGCCCAACTCGCGTCTCCCCTGCCTCTGGAGATACCAACAGGATCACCCAAACTTGTCCTTGGACTAAGGAAAGGTTTTAATCCTTCCCAAGAGACTGGGCTGTGGAAGTTTGTGGAATTGCCTTCTCTTTGTGCTGCAGGGACACAGCCACAATGTGCAAACCAAGCAGGGGCACAGCATTAGGTAAACGTGTAGCAGACATTACCAGTAATGTGTTACCAGTAGACAAAAAAAAGGTGCTGAAACAGCATTAGATGGACTTCAAAGAGTGGGATTTGGGGGATTTCCTCCCAGCAGCTCATTGCCCAGGCCTGGCTGGTGACTTTTCCACATCTGTGATTGTCTTGTGCTCGGCTCTGACTGCTCAGGTGCACAGGGGGTCTGTGCCCAGCCAGCAGTGACAGTGAAAACACCACTAATGCCCTCAGCCCTTCTGAAACCGTCCCCAAATGCTGTTATTTAACACCACCCCCAGGGTAGGGGCACTGCCTCTGCTCCCTGCTTGCCAGGACTCATTGCACGCAGGTAACCCCTCCTTCTAATCTGCACAAAGCAGGCTTGGCTCCTGCGTCTTTCCGTGGGGAAAGAGGCTTAGAGGGGAGGCACAGAACCAGTGCTAAGACATCCCTTTCAGGAAAATTAAAGCCAAATAATTTCCTGGGCTAAGATTGCCATAAAAGGTACTGAGAGATCCTCCAGCTTTTTTTACCTTCTCCGTTTATTTTGTAAAACCCCACCTTCTAAATTTTTTGCAAAGATCTATTTTGATTACTTCAGAAAAGGTAACATTTCTATTTAAAAGTGTAAATAACGTGATGCCAGCGGTGTTTGAGTAACGGAGCTATTTTTTTACTGTTGAAGCTAGGAGAGAGGAGCTCACACGTTGCTACAGTGTGGCACTGTCAGAGCATATCAGTATTAGTGCAAAGTGTAACAAAAAGCTGCGGGTGGAACAGCATCTCTTTCCTCTTCAGCCAGCTTCAGCCATTTCCTTGTCACAAGAGGTCTTACCAGACACAGAACAGAGTCACTCAGGGATAGTTTTTGTAAATTTATGGCAGGAGCTATCAACTTTTTTTATATGAGAAAAAAAAAAAAACAAAACAAAAACAACCAACCTTTTCTTGCCAGTGACCAACACTTCGTTTTTGTCGTTGCAAGAAATATCCAGGGATATTTTGGACTCAGTTCCAAAGAGGTGAGAGAGTGACTTCAGTGTTTGCTGCCCCTCTGCAAGTTCCCTAAAGCACTAACACAGCGTGACAGCTACAGCAGCTTGGCAGGTTTAAACCACATGGCCAAGGCCACTGTTTCTGGGGTTGGGAAAGCAAAAGCTCAACACAAAAGCACTTTCATAGAGCATTGAGTGAGACCAGGCTGCAAGATGTGGATGCAACACTAGGACTGTGCTGTGGTTTAGGAGGTTTTTTAATGTAGCAGAATTTAGTGTTCTTGTATTTCCAATATAAATTGAGTTGTCTTAACTTTTCCTGTATACAGTATTTTGGATACTTGACGATTTGGACTGTTGGTGTTGTTTTCTGGTGTTCTGCTTTACTCTGCTTTGTTTCCTTCAGCCCTCGCTGGACATGCCATTGCTGCATTTGTTGTGCCCAAACAAAGCATTGCCACTTGTCCCTTTGCCAGGGGAAGCCAAGACAAGGATGGGGCAGCCCCAACCAGGTGTTCTCTGTGTCCCTCACGTCAGCTCTGCTGTTCTGCAGCTTCCCTCTGGTTACCTTCCTAATGCCAGCTCTTCATCCAAGCCACCCAGTGCTGATTGCTGCCTCTAATTGTTCTGACATTCCTTTGCACCCTCTGGGCATCCACTGCTCCTCCTCTGTGCTGCTTTCAGGGTACCTGCAATAAAGGAGAGAGAGAGGAAAGGGTTGAACCAGGGTAGCTCTGGGAGCACAATCTGCAGCCCCACCAAAGGCAGCCTTTGGGTGACAAACCAGCAGAGCTAAGAATCCAAACTTCTTTTTTTTTTTTTTTTTCACTTCTAAAATGCACAGTGGCATCTCTAACGAGAGAAAGGGGAGATGATTTCCCCCCCCCACCCAGCTCGTGAGAGCTGATGGATGGAATTATTTGTATCATAATAATATTCAGGTTTGTACTAATGTATTACTTTGTTTTAACTTTGCCAAGAATGTTTTACATAAATACCAAGCTATAAAGCATTCTTGTAGGGGTTTTTGTTTGGGCTTGGTGGTGGTTTTCAAACAGCCAAATTATGGGGAGGTGCTGTTTTCAATTCAGTTAAATAAGGGAAAGGCTGTCCTGTCAGAGCACTCACAGTGGATGGAGGTGGCAGAATGTCCAGGGCTGTTTATCAATTTATTCTTGGACATTTGTTCCTGGTTCTTCTCTAGAGAAGTCAAAACTCACAGGGCTCCTCTCAGATACTGCTGGAGGACAAAACAAAAAGCAGGAAATGAACTATCCCAATTGACCATTCAGAGTGGTTAAATAATAGCTCAAGGCAGGAGAGAAGGTACAAAAAGAAATGGTTTGGCCACAGTTGACCATTGCTTAAGCCAAAGCCATTCCATACATCCTCTGTTCTCTGACTTTGATTTTGGGAATAAAGTTTAACCTCACTTGAAGGGCTCTCTGATCTTCAAAAGAGAGTAGGGAAAGTGGAGGCAAATGATGGGATTGCAGTGCAGGAGGCAAGTGCCTCTGTTTCCATTCCTGCAGCAAATCCTGCTCTGTGCCTGGAGCTCGTGTCTGAGTGAGACAAAGCAGAGGGAATAAAACACATCCCAGCTCCAAGTTTCAATGAAATCTAGGCCATGAGCTCTGTGATAAAGGTTAACAACAGAAGAACTCCAGTGAGGAGCACGTGGCCATCAGGGAGGCTCAGGAAGGGCCAGATTTACCCAGGATATTTATGATAAACAAGGTACCTGCCCAGAGCACTCACCCACCTTGTCTGAGTCACCCATACCCTGCTTGCAGTCAAGTCAAAGTCTGTATTTAAAAGCTGCTGGGCCCAACATTAATTGAAGTGAGGGCCCAAGATACCTGTGTTGTGGTAGAAGAGACTGAGAGGCTGTAGAAATCTACAGGGGAAAAAAAAAATCATTTCTCTGTCAGCTCAAGAAAAGGGGAGACGCCGTGGGTGGAATTAATTCTGCAACCATTTATTTTCATCAAATGCTAATAGTTGGAAATAACATAGTTCAAGAATGGAAATATTCCATATAAAAAGAACATTAAGGCTGTTCATACACACAGGAGTTTGCACAACAAATAAGAGGTGATGTAGCGTGCAATTACCAGATTTAGGGGTGTGGCAGTGACAAGCTGTTTTACCTTTATTCAAATTAAAGCAACTCTATTATATAACCAAGAGGGGCAATGAGGGACTGGGTGAGTAAAGCCAGCCCCTCACTGCCCTGCAAGCTGTGATAAATGCATTTATTGCCGAGTTTGTAGCAATGTTATGCCCTTACTTTTCCAAATGGACAAATTACACATCCTGAGGGTGAAAAGCCACCCTCCTTTTACACTGCAGCTCTGAGCCCTCTGCCAAGAGCAGCACTGACAACGCTGCTTTGCCTGTCCCCAGGACAGCTCTGGGGAAAAGGCAGCTCAGAAGAGAGAAGGAAGGATGTGCATTCACACCCAGAACTCCAGAGGGGAGGCAGCATGCTGGTTCTGTGCTCAGCTGTCAGGTTTTGGGGGGGCTCTGCGCTGTGATCGTTTCAGGGGCGCTCGCTGGCTGCTCCTCCTGGCTGGGGATTCCACCTTCCAAACCCGAGGCGGGGCTGGGCTGCAGGAAGGAAGCAGAACAAACCCTGCATTTTTCCCAAGCTCTTGGCCAGCCTATCTCCCTGCAGTGGCTGTTCCAGACCCGTGCTGAACTTACAGTTTCTCTGGCAGTGTCAAACAGATGATATCCCTGAGCTCATCCTCATCCTTCTTCACTGCAAACAATACATACATTTTCATAATTTACAAAATTCCACAGATTTGGTCATTTGGGGTTGTTTTGTTTTTTTAGCTTCCCCTCAAGTAAGAATCCCAGAGACTTGCCTGGAGCTGAATCGGGTGTGTGCGTTGAGCTGATGTAACTGACCCCAGCACCAAAAGTCAAGTCCTGAATGGTCTCTGGAAATAACAAAAAAATCAGATATTAGCAGCCTGTGACACAGCCAAAGGGCAAGGCATGCTGCTGTGCAGTACTCAAGTGTCAAAGAGTAAGTGAATCCAGATAATTGCAAACACACATATCTATCTCTCTTTCCCAGACCTCAGTGTCTCCCATCCAGCCTCAAACCCCTGTGCTGAGTCTGATGGGCACATCACCTCTAAATTCCAGCCTCACAGCCTCCCTGGCTGGAGGAAATCAGTGTGGGACCTTGGTCCTGCTGCCCCCTGTCCTGCCTGGCAGGGACAGCCACCCCTTCCACTGAAGCTCTAGCATCTCTCCCAGCACCACCTGCACCCAGAGCAGCTGCTCTGCTTACTCAAGGCACAATTTGGGGCCCCTGAAGACTGCCAAAGGCCCTGGAGAGCTGCTCTGTGAGGAGCTGCCTGCAGCCAGACAAGAGGAATCACTTGACAGGGGAGCTAGGTAGAATTTAGCTTGCCTGAATAGGCCCTGGTTGTCAGCTGTCTCTTTCCTGTCATTTATCTCAGGAGAGATGTCACAATATTCAGATTTTACTTAACTCAACGCTCTGTTTTATGCTCATGTTTCCCAGAACCTTTCACAAGGAATTAAGGTAGGAAGTGCTTTATAGGGCAGGAGTTGGAAACTCAGCTAAAAGGACTTTTCTTCACAGCTGAACTGGGTTTGCACTTTAACTCCTGCCCTGTCCTGGAAGGGAATCACTGAAGCTTAGAGCAGAAATCAAACTTGATCCATCTGCCTTAGCTCTGCCCTGCATCTCTCAGGACTGACCTGTGCCAGTGACTCTGTGCCTGAAGAAATTACCTTGGTATGGAGACATTTATGGGGAAGGAAGGGAAAGAAATGGCAAAGATACAGTACAGATGGAATAGGGGGAAAAATGGGGAAAAAAATGGGGAAGTAGGGCTTCCCATGCAGCATGGGAAGGTGGTATCTATCTCCACAACATGTGTTTATGTACAATCCCCACTCTCCCAGATGCACTGAAGCTGTTCCCAAAGCACCAAGCAGGAGCTGAGGAGCCCCAAAGACAGAAGGGAAGAGAGAACACAACCAGAACAGCTGAACAAGGCAGAAAGAGGGGACAGCTGCTCCCAACTTCTCAAGTACAAACCTGTTTACAAAGAACTGCGTCTCCAGTAGTCTCAGAATGATACACCAGAGGAATAAAATGTTTTATTCTGGTTGTCTATCAGCCTGTGCCACCATACAGATGGCTCAACACACGCTGACTGAAGTGATGATCCTGCTCTGTACAGTTTGTCTCCCTGCTGAAGGACACATGCTGCCTCGAAGCAAAGCAGGAATTCAGCTCTAGTACCACTGCAGATTAACATTTTTCCTCCTTTTTCACCATATGGTGCTTTAAGAGCAACAGCCGTGTGAGCTTCCAGGAGACCAGGGCGCTCAAAGAATCCTGCTCTCTAAAAACACTTTTTGCATGAAACCCCACATATTTTTTGCTTGTTGCTCAGGCAGAGAGAAACACTGAGGCAGACAAGTGCATCCCAGCACATGGGGAAGGGCAGGATCAGATTTTCCAGTGGCTGCACACCAGTGCCTGCTCAGGGCTCCCAGGGATTTGCAGAGCCTGGCTCTCCTGTGTGTGAGCAGGGCAGGGCTGTCAGGGGCACTGCCACAGCTCCCTGGGGATGCCAGCCCTTTCCCAAAGCTGCCCCCAAACCTAAGGAGAGCTGAGCTGCCACACACTCAACCTGCAGCTCCCAATTCTCTGCACCTCACAGCACAACAGAGATGATCTAAAGGAGTTCAGCAGCACAGGGATGGAAAGGAAGGGGATCTCCTGCTGGAACTCAGCCCCATTTGGGTTTTAGTGCCTCTCAGGCTTGCAGGGCTGTCAGAGAACATTCCAACAGAACCCTGGAAGGTTCAGCTGCAGTGGACACAGACTCACAGTTTGTGTATTGGAGATTCCTCTCTGTGCATTTCTACTTTCATTTCTACAGCAGTAACAAACCCCACCATTCCTTCTGAGCGTGGAACACACACACTCAGTGACTGTGCAGGCTGTTAATCCCTCTGAGCAGATCCCTGTGCTCTCCTGCAGCTGTCACAGCCCTGTGCCTGCTCTAGGAGCAGCTTGCAGCTCACCCCAGACCCTGCTCACACAACTTAGAGCAGGAAGGACCCCAGCTTGAGGATCTCCCTGTGCAGCAGGGCTCTGCAGGTCAGTCTAACATTGCTCAGCTGCGCTTCCAGAGCCAAGGAAGCGCTCAGCCTTGCACCTTTGGGCAGGGCAGGCTGGAAAGGAACCACAAACTTCCTCTTCAGCACCCCAGAGTCAAGGAAGGAAGAAAGGGCACTGTTACCTCAGCATCCCAAAAATAAATTCCCTCCTGCACTGACCCTGTGAGATGCACATGGAGACGCTGGACTGTGCTTTCCCATGCACACCCTCACTTGCAGGAGGGTTCCTCTTCACCACAAGCACTTGAATAAATAAATAATCCGTAGCTCTCAGGTCCTACTCACGCTCTGGGGTGCTGATTGCTCGCCCCGCCACAGCCACGTTTTCTCCACTGGACTGTTGGCTCAGGCTTTGGAAGGACCCTGGAAACAGCAAGGGAGTAATTAAGATTTGAAATGCACTCCAGACTCTTTGTGGATCCGTGTAAAGCAGAGCCAGAGCAGTTCCCACCTTGCTGGCTGCCAGCAGCTGATAAACTCCTCCCCACACTCTTGCTGCGCTGCTTGCTCCATTTTTCTGATGCCTTCTTGGCAGAGTTCAGGATGGCCAGAGTGCTCAGGGATGCTGCCCTAGGGCCAGAAACAGGACAGGAACTGGGATTTCCCTCTAAAGCTCTGCTGAGATGCATGAGGGAAGATCTGTCCCCTCCCAGTTCCTCATTTTAAACACCAAATAACAAGATTATGCTGCAACACCAGTGACTTTCAAAGCCCCCTCAAAAGAATGGATCAGCAAAGCAATATAAATAAATAGAAATACACCATAAGAAGAAATATAAATGTATAATAAATAGAAATATAAAACACCAGGTAACCAGGAGGAGCCCATACCTGCGATGCATTAGTGGCTGCCTCAGAGCATCAGCAAGAGGTGTGGCAAACTCAGGAGGGCCAGAGGGAGAGATGGAGCCAGGTGTGGACAGCCTCCCAGTCACAGGAGACTGAGCATTGTCATTATTCTGGCCAGCAGCTCTCTCCAAAGAGGCAGACTGCTGCAGAAAACAGGAGAAAAGGTCGTGTCTGCCAATGGATACGAGAGCAGAAAACCCTGCAAGGTGCTTGGACCTGAGTGTTTCAGGACTGCCCTTTGTGTGATGGAGGTAAAGGGTGCTGGGGAGAAAAGATTTATTGGCCAAAGTTTTACCAAGAAGTGAACAGGGACACAAATGTCCGAGTTTAGAGGTCTATCTATAAGTGCTCTTCTAAAGACTGCAGAAAAATTAACTTCCAGGCCAGAATTCATCTCATCTTAAGGTAGGGATCTAAAGTAGTTCAGGACAACTGACTCAGGCACATATTTATTTCTTTACACTGAATTTAAGAGTATCTCCATGACTAGGATGGGTTTGAATTTCTGCTTTGTAGACACCCGAAGTCAGACAAAGTGAACTCTTTTCTTTGTTACCAGTTTATCATTTTGGGAACAGAAAGAATACAGTATTTAAGCCCAGCCAGTGCCAAATTAGACTTGGTTTTCTCTTTAAATTGAATTATTTCTCCATTAATCATTTGCTGCTCCTCTTGGCTTTGGTTGTTGATGTTCTAAGCCTATTAAATGACTCTGAAACCAAAGCTTCTGTCAGGAGGTACAAAGAGGCAGGAAAACCCTTCGTAACCATCCTGCTCCAAGTGCTGGGACAGGGTCCCTGGGTGTTGTGAGCACACGAATTTGAGCAGAGGAGACAGGTACGGAGTTAATGGCACCAACCTCCTCCCCGTGGGCTGCTGAGAGCTGCTCTTGCTCTGACTCCTTCTCCCTGGCCAGCTGCTCCTCATATTTCCTCATGTCATACTCCAGCTCGGCTGCCAGCTGCTTGTCCACAGCAAAGAAGTCTTTGATTTCGTTTCGGTAATCTTGCATCATTTCCTGCAGCAGCAAGGAATGTTTGGACCCTTTCAGAAATCTCCCCCAGCTACTGATTCACATCCCCATTCAGATCACAGCTGCTTGGGAGCTAAAGGAAACACCAGTTGGTAGAGCAGAGGTGTTTTTAACAGACTGAGGAGTCTCAACTCCGATTTGTTCTTCAGAACATGGAGAAGCTTTCCAGCGTTTGAGCTTTCTCCCTGCCCACGTTCCACACCGAGAGCCTTCTCGCCAGTCCCTCCACCTCCCACGTTATTTAACACAGTGGCAGTGTCACAACATCTTATTTTCTGAATTCTTCCCTCCTAAGGAGGCTCTTGTTTCTGGCAGTGGTTGCACACGCAGCACATTAGCTCCAGAGAGGATCAAAACACCACGACCAGCAAGAAAACACTTCCCCTTACCCTCAGGCAGTTCATCAGGTCCTTCAGAGCTGGGATCCTCTTCTGCTCCATCAAGGACTTGAGTGATGTGATTATTGGGATGACGTTTTCGATGAAATTCTTCTTCTGAACCTTTTTGTGAACAAGGCATGAACAGTCACGCGAGGCAGCCCCAGCGAGAGGAGTCATCCCTCCACAGCCAGGGAATCTCTGTAATTAAGGCTGCTCTTACACCACACACATGCACAGAGGCTTTTAACCTAAGTGGAGCCTTTTCAGATGCATCACTAAGTCACTCGGTTCTCACAGTGAAGGCAAATTGCCCAGAGGTGCAGGAAAATCATTGTTCCGCTCAAATGCTTCACCAAGGAGAGGGGTAGGGAACAAATCCAGCTCAGCACAGCTCCCCTGGCTCCTGGGGAAACGCATTTCTGATCCCTCCAGCTCCAGAACAAGCATCCCTCACAAATTCTGCCCTCATATTTTGTTTTCACACAACACAGAGCTGCCCAGCCCTCTTCCCACAGCAGACCACGTGCCCCTCACCTGTGAGATGAGCTTTTTCTGGGCCACCTGCATGACGGCATTGGCCACGGCCATCTCATCTTCGTCAGGCTCAATGTGTTCCTCAGGCCTGGATCTCATACTTGAGAGCTTGATTTCTTTGCAGCTGAGGACTGCAAATGTATCTGAGAGCAGCTCGCTGCCTTCCAGGTCCAGAGGAAGGACTTCATCCACAAAGCAAGCTGGAATACACAAGAAAACATTTGTTTTTCCAGAAGCAGCAGCGATGGGGAAGCCAGGAAGATAAAAACACCTGGATCGTGATTTCTTGTTTGTTTTTTTGTTTGCCAGATTTTTAAAGAGCCTTGCCTAGGATGTTGTGGCTGATCTTGGTGGTGATGTTGAACCTCTGCTCATCTGTGAAATGGTCCAGCAGGAAGGTGTAGATCCTCATCCTCTTCTCCTTGTTATCCTTCCCCTTCAGAGAGAAGAGCTGCTTCGCCCTGTGGCAGAGCATGACATTTCACAGAGGCCCAAATCACATTATGCCAGCTCCCAGGAATAATGAGACCTTAAATCAGCCAGGGGTATTTGCATGTCACTTTTAAAACCCATAAACCTGTTAGGACAGCACACAGTCCCACAAATTACACGCAGCAGTGTCACAGGGAAGGCAGGACACAGCCCAGCACTGCTTCCCCCGGCTCTTTTCACTCTGTTGCATGGATAATTATCAAGTGACACAAATGCTGTGCTGTCACTGAGAGCTGCATGGCCAGACAGCCCACAATTTAGCAAAAATCAGACAGGAATGTGCTCGACTGACCGCAGGCTCTGGGGGAACCTGTTGTACTTCTGATGCTTCTCGTAGCTGTTGAAATGGAAGATGCACTCGATGAAGTGCTGGGAGAACATCATGGGGTTCTTCTTCAGCAAGAGATGCACCAGGCAGTACTCTGCAAACCTGGAGAGGAGGAGAATAAGGAAATGATCACTGGATAAATTCCAAAAGCCACCCCTGAAGCTGGGTAGGGCTCTCAAGGCAGGAGGATGGTTTTCCTCTGCCAAGTCTCCCTTAATACCACATTTAATTCTTGCCCAGCTCACTGGCTTCCATCCTTTTCTCAGATGGACAGACATTTCCAGCATCCACAGCTCTACTCATTTTTATGGCCATTAAAGCAAACTGAGTCAGAAATAAATCTGAACTTGAATCCAGGCACAGCATTTTAATTATTTAAATAACCCGAGTTCCACCATGGCAGAGACACAGCACCCAGCAAAAAGTTAATCCCCAAAGGTCCTGCAAGAGCTGCAAGGCAACCCTAGGCTTGAAGGATGTGGTTTTGTTTGGATGCAGTCTCTAAATGCAGATGCAAAAGAAAAGGCTCCCAAAGAAATGGGAGGAACACGATGCTGCAATGTCACCATCTACTGGAAAGACATTTTCAGATATTAAAAGCACGCTGAAGAGAAAAGGAAATGTGAATGGTGATTGACAAAAAAGGTTGATGGTTCTGGAAATATCCATCTCAGATTGTTCCAGGCAGAAATGAGCAGCAAGGTGCCCAATCCTCCTTTGGAGCCCTAATTTCTCCATGACCTCCCAAACCTGCCCTGCTCATTTCTCGTAACACAGCAGCTGGACACCTTGAAACCTCCAAAAACTTCATAAACATGCACTTAAAATCAGAGTGCATAACTCCTCCTACACATCATTGGACAGGTCATTCCTCTGACAACTACAAGATGTGGCAGAAGGCTGAAAAGGCAAGGCATGCAATACAAGAAAAAAGAAACTCCAACAAAATACTTCATCCTAGTCCTAAAACAGGCCCAGCACACGAGACAGAACCTGTCAGAAAACCACAAGGAAGATTTCATAAGGGTCTCTCTCAAAAATCCCTTTTTTTCCTCTGGATAACTGAGACCTAAACAGAGCAGGGCTGCACATTTTGATGAGTCAAGGACAAACTTTGGGATTTTCAAATGACCTGGAGAGAGCTTCATCACCTCTTTGCCACCACTGCAGACCCTAAAGGAAGGACAGAGGTTAGAGGGATAATCTGCTTTATCACTGGACAATTTCTTTTCACAGTGTGAAGGTGTCGAGACTGAGACAGGTTTTGAGACATCTCTGACCTTCAACTCCATCATTTCACAGCTGAGATTTTTACCTGGCAATATCTGGGTTTGGATCCACCAAGACACTGACAAACCGAAAGAAGAGACCGTCCTTCCATTTCACAAACTCCTCCTGTGAAATCAGCAGAAATTAACAACCTGAACCAGGAAAACTCAGTGTGAACCTCCAAACCGTAGTCAGGCAAATGAACAAGCTGTAAAAACTCAGCCAGAGGCACATAAAATAAACCCCAAAACAATCCCAGGTATTTTGGGGGATGCTCTAAGCAGCATAAATGGCAACACATCAAGGTTTGAAAAATAAAGTAGAAAAATGAAATATCTGCTCTCCCACCCCATGGCAGGTGTGTTCTTCGACACTTTTCAGAGCCAAATGCACCCCAAAGCTGCCCTGGTGTGAACACTGGGAGGGTAAACATCTCGAGCCTCACAACATTCACACCTTCAGAACAATCAGCAGAGACAGCAGGAGAAAAAAAGGCGTTGTGATGCTTGTTACAGCCACGGATAGAGGAGTGAAACTGGAGGGAGTTCAAAGAAACCAAGATGAGAAGAGGGGCAACCATTGACTAAAAATAACCTCATTATCCAACCCAGCCGGGTGTTGTTGATGCGACTGCAGAAAAAGCAGAATAACTAAATCCTGATTTAACCAGCCTTCACTCAGGATTAATTACACCCAGCACAGAGGAGCCCGGCCCCACCTGCAGCAGGTTGGTGAGCAGGATCAGGGTCTGCTTGCGGATCAAGGGCTGCGGGTCCCGCAGGCACAGGGAGATGTTGGGGATGTATCTGTCCCCCAGCGAGGTGTAGCGCACGCACAGGTCGCACAGCACGATGGCCGCGTTGTTGCGCACGGCCGTGTCCCGCGACACCTCCAGCTCCCGCGCCAGCGCCGGGATGCTCTTCTTGGCCAGCTCCTCGTGCTGCAGGCACAGCTTCCCTGGGGAACACCAGTGGTGCCTTGAGATTGGAGCTTTTGTGGTTTTCAGACCTTGTCCTGTGTTAGGAGCTCTGTGTAAAGCGCAGTCAGCGCTTCACGTTTTGGTCGGACAAAACAATTCCTCTCTGGGCCTGTGAGCCAAGGACACCCAACAGCCTCAGGCCCAGGAAAGTATAAATAAAAGTGGATTGGGGGGAGCAAACTGAGGGAATATTGATGCCTTGAGTGGCTCTCTGGAGCAGAGGCTGGCCAGAGTTAAAGGAATAAAGCAGGGATTTATTAAAAGCCCTTCCAAGGATCACCTTGGCCACTGCAAGAGCCCGGCCCTGGCTCCACCCAAGATGGGCCCCGGCTCAGGAGTTTCACACTTGGATCAGTTCTGGTCCATTTCCATCTCGGGGTGAATTGTGCAATTGCAGCTGCAGGTGATGCAGTCCCATCCTCCCAGATTGCTCTCCTCAATTCCCTGCTGCTTGTGCTTTTTGGGGCTGGAGCTGCAGCGCTGCCCTTGGCTGTGGGGCTGGGGAAGGATTGTTGTGTGTGCCTGAGCTGTGAGGAGAACTGGCTGACACTTTGTGTGGAGTTCAGAGTTAGCTCCCAGTGCAGAGCCTGGAAAATGTGAAAGCTAAAAATGAAGGCATCAATATGACTTCATTACCTGGAGCTGTAATTGCAGAATTAATGGACAAAACTTAGATCTGTGTGGAAAACTGGTGCCCACTGTCCAGCCTGGGTGCAGCCTCTGGGAGGCTTTGGCTGCCCAGGGTTTAAAGGCCTTTAGTAAACCCCCACTTCATTCTCTCAACTCTCTCTAGCCTCAGTTCCAGGGAGCCTCTCCAAGGCATCACCAGAGTAGCAGAGTTGGGAGTAAATTCTCCTTCCCAGCCCAGCCCAGCCTGCTGCCTTCAAAATGAGCCAGGGAAGGAATCAGGAAGTAAACAAGGGAATAAACAAGAAACTCATGCTGGAACTTGATGAGCAATCTGCACGATCTCTCAGAGAGATGGTACTTCAAGTTCTTCCAAATTCCCCTTAGACCTATAGAGTGGGTCTCTATGCCAAATTCCCTCCTTCACAGCAAACTATTTCTGTGTACAGGGTATTATTCAAAGCAGCTAAAAAGAACAGCCCCAGCTGTCATAGGCATAGCAGGGAGACACCCACCTCTGAGAGCATCACTGAACCAACCTAAAATAAAATAGCCTGCCATAGTTCTAACATCACTTCTCCCTGTTCCCAAGCTCTACACAAAAGTATTAAACTTTCCAAAGCAATTAAGGGAAGAATAATGCTGCCTATCTGCAAAAAAAACTTGTTTCTAACCATGGAAGTATTAAGACCCAGGATTTTCACTTGGTATTCCTCAGAATCCTGGGAATGCAGCTGGTCAGGCTTCTATGAAAGCAGCATTTCACTCACATTGAGGAGAAAAAATATTTAAGTGCAGTCATTCTGCTCTAAGCTACATCAAAAGCACCAAGTTTTCTTCACCCTCTCTGGAGCATTTAACTGCAAGTGAGATGATCCTTCAGCACCCAGCTCTGAGTACAAGGACAGCACAGCTCTGGGGGACAATGCTGGTTATTGATCACTATTAATGCATTAACTGCCTGGAGAAGCAGAGCTGGCAGGGTTCTGATGGTTTGCCCAACTTGTTTCCATGGATATTTGCATTGCTAAAAGCTCTGAGCTGGGCTAATGCCAGCAGAGCACTGGGGCTCTCTGTCACAACTGCCAGAGCTTTACATGGAATTATTTAGGTTGGAAAAGACCTCTGGGATCACCGAGTCCAACCTGTGACTGATCCCTACTTTGTCACCCAGCTCGGAGCTCTTAGTGCCACATCCAGGCCTTCCTTGGATACTTCAAGGGATGGGGACTCCAAACCTCCCTGAGCAGCCCCTTCCAATGTTTAACAACCCTTTCCATGGAGAAATTCTTCCTCATGTCCAACCTGAACCTCCCCTGGCACAGCTGGAGGCTGTTCCTCTTGTCCTGTCCCTTGTGACCTGGTTCCTCCCTCCTGTCAGGGAGCTGCAGAGTGACGAGGTCCCCCCTGAACCTTTTCTCCAGGATTCTGGGCAGAGCTCCACCAGAAAGGCTGAGCTACACAAAGGCCCGTTTTTAGGGCAGGATGGCACTTACCTAAAGTGATGAGTGCGTGAGCCCTGACCACGGGAGGCATGGCTGAGCCTCGGAACTGGGACAGCGGCTGGGAACTGGAGATGTCCTCACCGTCTGTGGAAGCTGGAAAAGAGCAGGTCAGGGATGGAAACACGGCCTGGCACACAGTGGTGCCTGTAAAAGCGAAGCTAAAAGCAGAAGGAGAGTGGCTCACATTGGTCCTCGCTGCCAGAAGAGGCCAGGATGGACTGAACCAAAAGGAAGATGCGTTTGTCCACCTTGGCTGGGCACAGCTGGGCAGCCTCACCCAGGAGGAAGAGGTGTCTCACCTGCAGAGAGAAAGCAGCACTGCTGTCAAAAGGCAGTCACTGAGCTGCAAATTAAGCCAGCAGGAGTCGGTTCTTCTCCAAAAGCAACTCAAAAATTCCCTCAGTCCTTTCAAGGCAGTGGCTGGAGAACAGAAGGGGAGGCTTTGGAACAGAAATCCTGGGTGGGTGTGTTTAATATGCTCCAACACCCCCCACATCTAATGAGACTGAAATACTCCTCAAAGCATTCCATGCCTTTTACAGACCTCTCTCCCAAACAGCTCAACTGAGAAGTTTCAGTGGAAAAGCAAGGGGGAAAAAAAACCACGTCATATATTAAAAATACATGGGGTGCCATATCCTTAAAGCAACTGCTGGTGTCTCAAACTGCTGTGGGCTCCCAGGCCCTTAAATACAGGAATTCACCACGCACACAAGCCATGCACATCCCCATTTCCCCAGTTCTTGGCGTGGATTTTGAGGAACACCAGCTCACTTTAAATAATCACACCTCCACCCTTTAAATAATCCATGAAGGGAGTTATTTAAAATAATAATCCCCAAACTTACCAAGAGATCTTCCTGCAGCTGCCCTGCTCCATCCTCTCTGAGGACTATACTGGAGATGTAGCTCTCACAGGTGGATACCAAATCTCCAAACACCTGGTTGAAGAGCTCCTGTTCCGTAATTAAACAAAATTAATTCAAGACATTATTAATTAAACAAAAGGTAGCTGTAATATCTGTCCACACATGAATCCCTAATATCAAAGTCTTTAGATGCTTTTAATAATCTGGATCCCATTAAAATCAATCTGACAGTGCCTTAGAGGTTTAAAATTCTCCCTGCACATCAAAGAATGTGTGCAAGTGTCAAAACACCTTGGAAAATTTGGCTTTTAATGATCTACAGGCCCAAGTTTACTTCATTATAGAAATCACACAGACTTAAACAAAAAGGATTTGGGCGACTGTTTCATGTGCACCCAACACATTGGAGGTGTCTGTGGGAATTTTTAGATGTTGCTTGAAAAAAGCAGCTCCATTAACAGAGAAAACATGATGTGAATTCCAAAGAGTGGAGGGGAAACCCAGGAAAAGCTGATTATCTAGTACACTGTGGTGAATATAAAGCATCATTTCTGGCTTTCCACCATCTAAACGTGGTTATTTTAATAACCAAATAAGTATATAAATGCTAGCTGTTGGATTTGATGAAGTGACCAACTACAGGAAAATCTGCATTTCATTTTAAGCCAACACTCTGTGGTGGCTGTACCTACAGGTGAGGATTTTCTGACTGCCCTTTAAAAACCCAGAAACCATCACCCCCACCTGGCTTCTGAGGCACAGAGGGTTCAGTTTTTTATTTACTATTATTTACTAAACTTGATTGGGATGATTACAAAATACCTGTCATCTTTACTGAAAGAGAAATACAAAACAGACACGAAGAGAAATCATTAGGGACAGAGACCTGCATCCATTTCAGCTTCTCTGCAACTGTGTCCAGGCTGAGATCTTTATTTTACCAACAAAATATGGCCTAACTTCCCACTGTGGGAGCAGAACAGAGCCATGGCATGAAACAAATGGAGGCAGAAAGAAGTTATGAGCAAGTTATTGACTCCCTGTTTGGTCTCCAGGAAGAGGTGTAGGAAATACGTGTATTTCCAGCAGCTCTGATGGAGAACAGTCAGAGATTACAGCATAAATCTGAGGCTTCAAACTGGCCCAAGCACAGCAACAGGTTTCCTTTAGGAAATTTCCCTTAGGAATTCTGTAAGCCTGAGCAGAAGGCTAATGGAAGGTTTTCCAGAGGTGTGTGGGGGAATACATTCAAAGGCAGAAGATTTCTTACAAGCCCAGGCTCAGCCACAGGATGTTCTCCAGCTCAAGTGCAGCAGAGTCAGAGCTGAGCAGAGCAGGCTCGAGCCCCTTTTTTAGAACTCATCATCCCACAGCCTGGAGACAGCAGCAGACACCCCCTGAGTGGGGAACTGTTTGAAGAGGTGTATTTTAAGTCTCACCAGTGCCTCCTCTGGTGCAGCTGCAGAGGCCTGGCAGAGCTTCTGCAGGGTCTCCACAGCTGGGCTGATCACCTCCAGGGGACACTCAGACTCCTTCAGCCAGCTCTGGATGTTCTCTGGGGAGGAGATCACACATAAAACCAGATTTTTCTAAGCTTTTCAAGTGTTTATGGAGGCACAAAACCTCTGCAGGTGGCCAGGGCCACTCACCCTTCAGCTTCTCAGAGCTGCTCTCGGGGAGGTGCTTTGCCACGTGCCCGATGACACACAGGACGTGTCCCACGGTGTCACTGCTCATGTTCTGCTGCCTGGAAAACCAACAGTGAACTCTGAAGCACGCCAACAAATCCCAATCCTCTCACCTGGGACATGCATTATTAAGGCAGACCTGTCAAAGCCAGTGAAAACTCAGAGAGCTTGAGGAAAGAGCTGGTTACCACACGGATCTCGAGGCCTTTGCTGGATTTCCAGCTGCAGAAGTCACAGTTTGAAGAAAAAACTGGGATGGGAGCAGCTAAAAGGCAATCTGTGCGAGGGCACTGAGGGCTCCCTGGCAGGATGGAGTTCAAAGAACACTCACTGACCTGCTGAAACTGTCCCAAGTCTCGATGATCTTGGAGTAATTCAGCTTGGGGGAAGAACCTGCCACCTTGGCAAGCAGCATCCAGGCTGCCCTGGAATGTTCTGTCTCCACGTGAGACATGACATTACTGATGAAAGTGGAGGTGAACTTTTGCTGCTTGGACCACATAAGGAAGGCTTTGCTCAGGTAACGGCTGCAGGGAAGAAAGGAAAGTTTAGAGAGGAATAAACAGAGCAGGAAAATCCAGGAAAATTCAACATTCAATGGGCAACACAACAAGGCTGCTATTCCCTGGTATTCCCAAAATTCACACTGAGAATTCCCACATTTCCACATGTTTTCACTACATGGATGCTCTGATCCAGGGCAGTAAGACAGAAGGTCCAACTGGTCCCATGACACATCAGGAAATTACAATTGCAGCAATTTGTAACCAAGACTTTCCAGCAGTTGTTATTTAACACCCAGAGTCATAGAACAGCCCAAATTGGAAGGGACCTTGAAGATCATCTCATTCCACCCCCTGCCATGGATAAGGACACCTTCCACTAGGACCAGGGTGCTCAGAGCCCCATCCAGCCTGGCCTTGAGGACTCCCAGGGATAAAGGGACAGCAGAGTCATGTCAGGCATCACAAGCATCACAGCCTGCTCGTTTTTCTGCATGACCCCAATTTGGTAGAGCTGTGAGATTTCTCAAGCTGCAAGGTCCTGCAGGGTCAGGAGGAAGAAGGTGCCAGGAATGTGCAAACCCTGTTACAAAATGGCCCAAATTAGAACAGTGACAGCTCCCCACACTGGCACAGCAGCACCACCAGTGCCTCATCTGCTATTTCTGAGCTATTATGCCCTGTTGACTAATAAACATACAGCTGTCTTTAATCAGTGTTGTGTCCTTGTCATGCTGTGTGTCATCCCATTTCTCCCTCTCCTTCCCACGGCGTTCTGTGGCAGGCAGGATAATTCGATTTGTCACAAGACAAGTAACATATTGTACATAAGAATTAATACAAGGTGATGTTCTTGCTTTATATATCCTCTCTCACTTCTGTCAGAGGAACTCCTCCGTTTGACTTAAATATTCATGTGCTATCAGTGCATCCAGCATGGGATGTAACAATGAGCATTTCAGCCCAGGGAGAGAGCACAGGTAACAGGAGCAGCAAGCGAAAACACCTGACACAAAGCAAAGCTGAACTCTTCTTGCCCATGCTCAACAGCTCTGTCCTGGGAGGACATCTCCACAGTGATACTGAGGGTTTCAAGCAGGGAAATGAAGCAGCCTAAAGAAATCCCTGAGAAAAATTTGGTTTCTTGTCCTTGCACAGCAGACAGCACGTGCATTTTTTAACAGTGTGAGCTGTGGTACCTTATGGATGCTGAAAGCAGGCAGGGAGCACAGAGCCTGTGTGAAAAGCAAGTCACAGAACTTTCTCAGACTGGCCTGAGAAGTGTGGCCTAGGAAATCAAGGAGGAATCCAAACAGTGCTTGGAGAAGGAAAACAACCTTTGCAGGTGTTGTTTGGATCCTTGTTGTTTACTCGTAAGAAACAGTCAAGGGGTGCTGTTCTAATTGTGATGTGTTGGTTTAATGACCAATGAGAATTGGTCCTTCTTGGACCTGTCTATAAAAGAAGATCTGGAATAATAAAATTGGCTCTCTTTTGCAATCCAGAAGAGAGTCTATGTTGTACTGCTTCACCGTTCCTCGGTGTGACAGTACCTCACAGTCTGTGGCCACACAGGGAATGAGAACACAAACTCTTATCTCAGTCCTCCAGTCAATTGGTAATTTCCTTCTGTAAGGGGAAAGTTGTGTATTCTAATGGGATTAAAAGTGAAAAAAAAAACAACCAAAAAACCCTGTGGGTTTTATCACCGAATGTTAACACAGGCAGGAAAGGGAAAAATGCACTTACCTCAGCTCCTGGCATTCTGAAGACAACAGGGAGAGCAGATCCCACGCCAGCTCCTGCCTCCCATCACCACTCCTGGATTTATTGTAATGTTTTATGTGTTGCAGCAAGAGCTGATCAAGGCAATCCAAAGCCTTTTCTTGGACAGAGCTTTCTGCATCCATCACCACGGGCACCACTCCGTTCAACCAGGCCTTCTGCACCAGGACATTGCTGTGCTGAGACTGAGAAAAACACATTTTTAAATCATTAGGGGATCCCAAATGCACAGGGTAAGACCAGCAAAGGCCTCCAGGTTCAGCTATAAACTTTGAAACTTGAGTTTTAATCAAACTCAGCAGTGTGGTAGCAGGTGGGACAGGGAAACTCAGCATCACAAGGTCTTTAATCATCTCTATGATAAATACCTGGTGTTTCTGCTAAAGTACTGCAACACTTTGTTTTGAGACTCTAAAGAATTATAACAGGTTTGCAATAAGGCTGTACAGCAGATGATTTAGCACTAAAAAAAAGAGCTTTGCTTAATATAAACCCTGTGCTCCAAGCCTGAGCTACGAACCCTTTGTGAATAAATAGAAAAGAAAGAAAAATATAGCATTGCTATCATCCACACATTACATCTGAAAGTGATTCAGGGTTTTTTTTAACTTGAGAAGGCCAGCAACATAAACATTTTCTTCATGACACATAAATCAACAGCCAGAAAAATCAGTGTTTCCAACAGTTGGAAGCACTCTGCATAAATCACAAGTAGGTATCAGAGTGAGTCATGACTTCCGAGTCAAAAGGTAATGAAAAGAATTACAGCAGAGTCACAAAATGCAACTCCCAGAGTGAATAACTGATTGGTGAGATCCCTCCTGCTCTCCACCCTCCTGGATGTGGCAGAATTCCTGTTCCCCTCCATGTCTTAGGATTTTAGCTTTTATGTTTTTCAAATCCTGTACTGCCCTAGTGTGTAACTCTAAACTCCACGCAGTGGCAGCTACTGTTGTCCCATTTTATTCAGAAAAAACAATTCCTCTGGGCCTGGAACTCAACACCACCTCACTGCCTCAGGCCCCAAAAAGAAGGAGCAAACTGGGGGTGTATGACTTCATTACCTGCAGCTGTAATTGGAGAATTAATCCCTGATATGTAAATGGACCAAACTTATAATTGTGTGAAAAACTCGTGACCGCTCTCTGGCTTGGGTGCAGCTTCTGGCAGGCTCTGACAGCCCAAGGTGTACCTGTTTGAAGGCCTTCCATGAACACCCACTTAATTCTGTTAATTTTGTCTATCCCATGGTCCAGGTGGGCCCTGCAGGGCCTGAGGCTCACCAGGAGCAGCTCGGTGATGGAGTGCAGCGCCTGCTTCCGCACCGACAGCGCCGGGTCCCGGCAGCGCTCCTGCAGCACGCCCACGTCCTCGGCCGTGCAGGGCATCACCCCGTGCCTCAGGATGCTCAGTAACACCTGCCAGGCAAACAGCAGCACAGCTCTGTTGGGAATCCATGCCAGGGGCACCGAGTGGAGAAGCAAAAATATCATTTACCCCCCGCCAACGTCAGCCAGAGATTTATCGCACCCGGAGCGAAGCGGCACATTAACGATTCATGAGTGCTGGGCACAACCAGAGATGTAAAATGAAACTGAAAACATCATCCTAGACATTTCTGCTCTGGAACAGCAGCTGGAGAGGGAGAATGTCCCAATTTCCCCTTGAAAGTAACGTGTCTCTTTATGAGCCACGGCTTTTACTTGGCAATAAGGAAGAGGGACTTATTTTTATTCTTAATCAGAAAGCATTAAAACATGAATTGCAAAGCCCTAACCGGGAAGCTCAAATCAGTGTGAATTGAGGGGGAAGAGCTGGGTGAAGAGGACTAACAGAGGAAGGCAGTCAGCAGCAGACACCTCTTTTTTAAAACAAGGAAATTTCCATTGAAGCATCTCTCTTTAAAAGCTAATGACTTCATTAAAGAAATGAGCAGCAAGGAAAGCAACACAGAGCTCAAAAAGAGGCTGGATATAACCTAATCCCTTTGCTAACAAGGTCAAAACAAACTAAGCAGCTAATATGCTTCAGTTTATGAGGAAGTCTCTTAATTGAAATGCCTATTGACATTTGACAAGAGCCTCTCCTTGCAAATGACGGAATAACAGAATGCCAGCAAGGGTACTAGAGAAATTTCCATCATTATGCCTGCATTATTTACTTATCAGGAGCTAGTAAACAAGATCTTTAATGCCTTTAAGGTACTCTGCAGGGAGAGCAGGAAGCTACAAGTGGGCAAAGTGAGAGAGTTTGCAGCAAAGCTGTGGCCTAATTAATTATTTAACAATTTTGGGTAATGACTGAGAGCAGGGAAGGATGCAAACCCCATCCTACCTGCAGAGCAGATTTCCTCACGCTGGTTTTCTCGTCTCCAGCTCTCACTCTCAGCATGGCCATGACTTCTTTTCCTATCCAAAATGAGGATAAAAAGGAATTACCCCCAGGAAGAAGTAATTACCCACAGCAGCAGTTGGAGCCACACAATCCCAGGATGATTTGGGTGGAAGGGACCTTAAAGCTGATCTTCTTCCACCTTCCACTGTCCCAGTTTGCTCCAACCTGCCCTTGGAAACTCCCAGGGGATCCAGGGGCAGCCACAGCTTCTCTGGGCACCCTGTGCCAGGAGCCTCCCCACCCTAAAGCAGCACAAACTCAGTGCAAAAACAAAAATAGTTCCCCAAAACTTTCAGAAGGATTGAATGAAGCACAATTAAAATCACACAGAACGAGGCATAAGCCAGAAAGAAAAACAAACCAAATTTTCTCACTTCCTTAATTTGAAAGCACATCTTAATGTATCAAGATTATATTATATATTTAACAGAAGAAAATGATGAACAAATTACTTGAGACACACGGGGGAAAAATAAAAAATAAAATAATAAAAAAAGGTGAATCTGTAATTTCTGACCTCTTTATTTGTCTACACAGAAGATGTCAGAGAGCTGAAGAAAAGCCTGTGGCTCAGGTAACCCTGGTAGCTGCAGGAAGAGCTACCTGGGCACAGCAGAAATGGAGCCAACACAGAGCCAGGGGAGGTTCTGCAGAGCTCAGAACAGCCAAAACCTCCTGGGAATTTTGCCTCAGAGCTCCACACAGCATCAAGCATTAATGTATGAACTGCTGTGTGTTACAGAGGGGAAATGACTCCATTTATTAATTCCTCAAGGCTGCAAAGAACCACCCCAGAGCCTACAAGGAAACCAGAACACATCTCTCTTCCCTGGATGTCAGGGCTCCAGTTTCACTCTGCACAGCCATATTCATACTTATTTCTGCATGTTGGCAGGGAAAAAATATATATCATCAAGGCAATAAGTTATTAAATGACACACACAACTGAATACACAGATCAATTATTTCTCACATTTTGAATCACTGGGCTATTAACTGGCCATAAGGACCTCAAGCATTTTACCATGGCTTTTAAGGTTTCTATTTATTGCTGTTTGTTAAATTTCTCCCAGCATTAAGTCAGATTTCCCAAAGATATGCCAAATTTGGAGATCTGTTACTTAGAGATTCACATGGACATCCATCCTGTTGCCATTAAAAAATAGGATTAGTCACAGGGAACTAAGCAAAAGTAGCTTAAAAATACATTTTTATCAAAGGGAAGGAAAGGGACTTTGATCTGGGTTTTCTTAATGGACAACTAAGTGCAGTGCCACCCTCCTCCCAAGAGCAGCTGCACAGAAAGAGCACAGAACCTTTCCACTCCAAGATTTTGCTACTAAAATAGTCCAGTCTTGTGAAGGCAACCAAATAATCACATTTTGACATTGATTTTTCTGATGTAGAAAAGAGGGGGGAGAAAAAAAAAAGCCAAACAAATAATGAAACAACCAAAAATCCCAAGTTCTAAACGGCTGAGAACTCCCAAGGCAAGGGAAAGCTTGATGCTGGTGGGCAGAGGGAATTCTGCAGTGCACACCTCGCCTTGCAGGTTATCCCCACCCTTCTTATCTCTGCCCTTGAGCACTGAGCATGTTCTGACTATCCCTGCCTGAGATTTATTTATTTTCTAAAAAAAAAAAGAGCTGTTTGGTCTTCAGAGGAGTGCAAAATTAGCACAGGCATAAGCCAAGCATAGGCATGTGCCAGACAGCTTTGCTAATGCACCTTGACTGCCTCAGAGAGCCCTGGATTCCAGCATCCTCTGGAGCTCCAGACAGTCTTTTTTCATTCCAGCCTTTTCTTAATTTGTTTTGCCAAGTGCCAAGTGTGTGCTCAGCTGGGTATCAGAGACAAACCCAGGCATCCTCTGGCACGAGGAGCCCTGCAACTAAACAGGGGATACACAATACCTTGAGTGGCCTGGAGGACTTTTCTATCTGAAGGAGCAGATTAAGGAAATTTATCAGCAGAGTGTGTTTGAAAAAGGGAGCTTTCAATGGGGGGAGATTGGAGCCTGGCTCCTGCAGATAGGGAGGGAGATCCCATGTGAGGAGCAGCGTGGAACAAAGGATGTGAAGCAAGCACAGAATTCAGCTGTCAGCAGTTCAGGGGAGGTGAACAGCAAGAACTGAGAGCGCAGATCCCGGCAGGGGCTGAAAGGTTAGGAAGAAAAGCTTTTCCACACAAGAGGAAAAGAAAGGGAGAGGTTTAAAGGAGGAATATCCCACAAAAGCCGACTTGCATGGTGATTTCATGCTATCAACAAATTAGAGGCAGCTTGCCATGCTGCATCAGGACACTTCATGTGACATTCTGCTTTCAGCTTTCAACCTGATGCTGTAGAGAAACAGATCCTTGCCTTCAGAACGGTGCCACTCAAAGGTGCTGTGCTTTACACAGCAAAATGTATCAGCTCTTTGTGCACTGGAGCAAGAGATTTAATTACCCTGGAATTCATGGAGCTACAAGCGTTATATCCCACATCAATTACCATCCTTTCTTGGGAAGAATAAATTACCTGCTTTTCAACAAGTGTTGCCACCACATCAGTACCAACAGACATCAGCATTTCAGGAATAAATGTATTTTTCAGACTTGAGTGGAAATACTATTCCTTTATGGCTGGCAATTCCACCCCCTGCATCACCCCTAAGTGTTTTGTAACAGCTTTCTCCAGTTCCTTTGAGAAATGGACAATGAATACATTTCAGAAAGTCTGATTTCAATTAAGGTTTTGAATGGTGATCTGAAAAGGCTGCTTTAATTCTGACATACCATCAGGCCCAGGAGTGTCACTGCTGTCTGGCAGCTCGATAGTTTTGAAAGTTGATAAGGTCTTCAGTGGATGGTTGGACACAGCTGAAAGAAAAAATAAAAGCTGAAGAATAATAAAGGCATATATTCACCTGGCAAGAAAATGGTTCAGTGTTAAACAGAGAGCCCCATGCATGCCCTAGGTTTAACAGATATGTGTATTTTTAGGAAATGGCATGCCAAGAAAAGCCTGAGACTTACTGGAAAAGAATGAATCTATACCTTCTGCACCGACTGTCATGCTTGCAGTGTTTGTGTTTTCTTCCAACACTGTGCGGACAGAGGCTGCCAAAAAAGAGAAATAAAAAAGGAAATCAAACAAAGTATTTTAATTCTGGATATTCTGTCATTCCAAATTTTATTCAGGCAAGCAATCTAACCGTGGGCTGCTGTGTGCAGGCTCTGCATCGTGCCATCTGGCCTTCACCACACCTGAGGGAGCTCGGAATGCCAGTCACGAACAGAACAACTTAGCAGAAGCAAAAGGCAACTCAAGATTTAATCAGCTGTCAGGCAAGAATGAACTGCCTTTTTTTTTTTCTTTTTCTTCCCCCCAATGAGCAATTTTGGTTGTCTGTAAACATCCTTCAAAGGGACCTGGCAGAGGAATCTCTTTAGAACTGGTACACGAGAATAAATCCAAATATAAGGCTTCATAAGTAACGAGGCTCATCAATTACTGCTCATTATGACACAATACGTAAGGACGTCGTGTGCCAGTTTTTAAGTTCCTGACAACTCCTAACTCCCAGCAGCTATTCCCTTGAAAGTCCAGGAATAATTTTCATTACCTCATGTGCCCATAATACTCACAGCTCTGTAGCAAGTCCTGAATGCTCTCCAAGGTAGAAGATTTCATTTCGAGACAATGGGCAAAGCTGCTGAGAGCTTTGCTCCGGACCACGGGGGATTTGTCTGAGCACCGGCCAAACACCATGACCTGCACTAAAAACTTGTGCTTTAGGAAATTCTGATGATCCAGAGACAAGGAACTGTCTGGGTTCCTCTCTGACAGCTCCAACAAAGCCAAGGCTACATCAAGAGCAAACACTCTGTAGGAAACCTGCAGGATGAAAAAGCACACAAGGTGCTCTGTTAATGGAAGTGAACACGGAGTTTTCTTGCCTCTGGGTACCAGCAGTGACAGAGCTATTCAGTGCTGAGATTGAACCCTTCATCTCCAAAACATGAATGAGATGCACTTACTTGGTTGAGTGAGTATTTATAAAGCCAAGCGATGAATTCAGCGAACTCTGCACACGGGAATTTGTCCATCAGGGTCACCAGGGCCTGGGCAGCGTAGGTGCGATAATCAGCCTTGTCTGGGACCTGAAAGACAAGGGCAAGGACACCCTGTGATACTTCACTGCTCTGCTCTGGATGCCAGAAAGGCATTTCAGGGCTTAAGAGAAGTGTTTTTTTATTTAATGAGCTGATACGTTCACATTCAACAATAGCAGGGAGAATCATCACAGCTTCCTCAGTCACTACTTCACCATCACACCTTTTCATTCCTTACAAAAGATTGTGAAAACTGATTTCCTAAGCTATTAATGATATTCCAATGTATCCACACGAGTTCTCCAGCTCCAGAAGTGGCAGAGCTTGGCATACCTTGGCACAGATGTGTTGGAGCAATATTCGCAGAACAGAATAAACAGCTTCTTTCAGCTCATCTACCAGAGAACTGCACAGGAGGGAAAGAGAGAAGCAGATTTTAACAAAGCTGGTATATAACAGAGGAAAAATCAAGGACATTCCCTCTGGAATGCAATTGAAAAGTCAGGAAAAGTGGCCACAATTCTGGAATCATGAGTGCAGCAGGAAATGTTCAGAGAACCATCCTTACTTTTCACATTAACCTGGCTTTGCAGACACAAAATAATTTCTTCCCATACCTTTCTAACAAGTAGAAGAGTAACATGAAAAGCTTCTTTGTTCTCTTTTCCACTATATATTATCTATAAATCTACTTTTGTATGTTGTCTGGGGATCTCTGCACAAACTACACTTCCAACAACGTGGATCCCCAACAGGGGGAATAAACAAAGGCAAAACATATCATTAAGCAGGAGAGAGCAAAGAACTACAGAGGAATGAGCTCCACGTTAATCTTTCATTTCCTTCACAAGTCTCTGTAGTAAAACCAAGACCTGAAAAACTGACACAAAGCAAAATACAGAAAATGGATGCTTTCCACAGCACCTTCTTCCCCCTCTGCCAGCAAACTCAGTAAATTCCCATTCCAGACATTTTAATTAAGCCTCATTTGCACAAACAACTTCAAAGCCAGTGCCAGCTTGTCTCATCCCTTTATCACCTCAACAGCAAAGCAAAGGCATGGCAGAAGAAAGGAGCAGCCATGCCCAGAGCTCTGAACATCACCTGATGAATTTCACAGCCTGGTTCCTGGCGCTGGTCACGGCTGATGTGATGGGAAGGGGCTCACGCCTGGAACCCCCCCTGCTCTCCACCATCAGAATGACATTGAGGAGCTGCTGGAACACACATCGAAGGGTCTGCAAAGAAGAGGTTATTGGCAGCCTCTTTTCCATGGACAGGCACTCCAGGGTCATGAAATAATTCTGACTCAAGTTTAGAACCAAAAAACAGCACATGTTAAAGCATGATTCCTAGCCAAGAAATTCCAAGAGGAAACTTTATGAATGCACATCTCTCCTGGCTGTGATGTTCTCATGCAAATTCAGCAAGGTCTCAGAAGGCCTTCCTAAAACCATTAACAGCTTCCCTCCCAAGAGGGCAAAACCCCCCTCCAAAGTCCCCTGCAGACTTTTTTTGCCAGAAATATTTGGAATTTGAGGAAACTCACTGGGTTTTGCACAGGAGATGTCTTAAGCTAAATACGTGTTTTGTATCACCATCTGCACTTGAACTTTTGGAGTTTCCTCCCTTGCCATGTTTTTTGGGACCACGGCTTTGCCTCACGATCCTGACATCCCCTGAGCAAGCAGGAGAGGCAGGGAAGATGAGGCAGGTCTGGGAAGGGGAGTGACAACACCTCCCTGTCACCACAAATGTCAGCAGCTCCAAAAACCTCGTGCTGCACTGAGAAACCAAGGAGGCAGAAACACGCAGGCCTAGGGCTGCTGGAGCTGGGCTGGCACTCAGGAATGAGCAGGTTACTGAGCACTCCAGGCCTTCCTGACTAGACAGCTGCTGATTCCCATCCTGCAGGCTCAGAATCAGCCCAGGGGGTCACACAGACACAGCTCGGGCACACCCAGCCTTCAGCAGCCCCAGGCAGAGCAGCAGCACTCAGGTGAGTGCGAGATGCCCTGCTCTGCTTGCTGATTTAAACAAATAAAGACAAAGTTTCCTGCAGAACTGGCTTCTCCAGGATCACTGAGGGTTCTCTGAACAACAACCAGCCTTGCTCAGCCTCACCGAGCGCACAGAGCACTGCACAGCCCAACCCCTCACACGCTGCCAGGCGGTGCTGCAGCTCCATCTAGCAGGGAACCTCAACGTTCCAGGGAAGGGCAGCCACCTGGAATTCTCTTCTTTAAGGTTCAGAGACCCAGTGCCACTGCAGCTCTCCTTTGTTGTCAATTCATTTGCTGTAAGAGCCGGCAGAGCACGGAATTCACGCACACAAGTGCTGCAGCAAAGGAGCCCAAAGGGAGTAAGGGCTGGGGTGATGTCCTCAGGTGACTGTGATGTTAAATTGTATCCCCACTCCTAAAAGTAAAAACCATACAAGCAAAAATGGCATGCAGAAAAGGAAAGAAGATTCTGTTTAACTTGTACCTTATCTTCTGTGCCATGGAGAGGGGAACACAGTAAGTGAAGTCCATAATAGGCCAGCTCAGGAATGTACTTGGCTTTATTAACGTCCCTAAGAAAAGAAGGCAAAGAGATGTCTTCACCTCTCATCTGAGTAACTCTGACTCTATTAAAAGAGTTCATTCGTTGCTGTTGGACATGAAATAAAGGTGCCTGACTCCAGTTCAAAGGGAGAAGATCATCAGAAGGCTTTATTGTCTACTTTTCGGTACCTTTTATAAGGTGTTCCAATAACAGACTTAACATGATTGGTAAAGGGAACACCACCTCTCTAGTCCCATTGGTGGAACAAGAGAAACACAATCAGCACAGCTGTACAGATTGTTTTGAGAAACCTAAGTTATTTACAGAAATTGTCCTTGAAACAAAGAGTCTCCTGAGAAATTTTTCCCTTGGGAAAGAATCAGCCATTGGCAGGCTGAAAACCTTTTCAGACTCAGAAATATCAGGCCCACATTCATTGACTGCAAAACATTCAATATTCACAAGATGCTGTTTGCTGTTAGCACCTGGAACATATCTGAATTATCTTTATAGGAGAATTTGTTACTTTCATTTTTATATGCACAGGACAATAACACAAGCACTGAGGGCTTTACAGGTTCAAAGCATCACATAAACATTAAGAATTATTAAGAATTATCTGCTCACATGGCTGCTGAGAACTCGAACTCGTGGAGCACTGGCTCAAAGCTGGTCATCTCAACAAAGACCTGCAAGGGAAGAGAGCCAAGGTGAGCTCAGCCCCCTGAGGGGAGGGTGAGCAGGGCTCTGGGATGTCTGGGTCACACCACTGGGTTTAACTTTCAAACACCTCCCTTGAAGCAGAACAAAAGCAGAGCCCAAAGCCCAGAAACTCCCCCCAGGAACAAGTGCTGGCTGCTCCTGGATCCCTGGAAGTGTCCAAGGCCAGGTTGGACGGGGCTTGGAGTAACCTGGGATAGTGGAAAGTGTCCCTGTCATGGCAGGGGGTGGAGCAAGATGAGATTTAAGGTCCCTTCCAATGCAAACCATTCTGATTGCATGAACAAAACACTTTGTTCAGCATGAGAGGCAGACACAGAGCAGGCACCCTGCTGCCACCCCTCCACGTGGAATGCTCTGCATCCTCAAAAAGCCTTTGTTAGGGGACATAAGGCTCCTCAAGCTGGATCTTTTTTACCTGCACGCAGTTCTGCACACACTGAGGTTTTTCTTTTAGGGAGAACTTGGACAGAAGTCTTAGAAAGTTTTTCAAAAGAAGGAAGATGGCGTTGCGGACTTGGAGAATATCTTCTGCTGAGAAATAAACATTCTCAGCATCCTCTTCCTCCTCCTCTTCCAACATCTCTTCTATCTACATTGGCAGAAAAGAAAAACAGCTTGCCAACAACTTGCTCACTAACAGGGATTTGTATCTGAAGGGATTGCACAAACATCTTACACTGGATCTGTCATTCCTGCATGGTTTCCCTTTCTTTCTGTTCCTTCTGGCGGTGGGCTGAGAGCTTTGAGCGTGTGCCTTCTTCCTCTTCCTCAGCTCTTGAGGCCAGCATTTTGTCAGGGTGTGAAGACATTTATCAAACATCACTTGGTGGAACACCTGGTTTACGATGCTGCCTGCCCAGAAAAGACAACATCAGTCCTCTTCCAGACAAAATACAGAGAACATCAAACCATCTGGGCATCACCTCCCACCCCTTGAAGTGCTCAAGGCCAGGCTGGAGCAATCTGGTCTAGTGGAAAGTGTCCTCCCCATGGAATGAGATAAGCTTTAAGGTCCCTCCCAACCCAAACCAGTTTGTGATTCTGTGACCTCTCCACAGGTGTCCCAGAGCCTAAGAAAGTTCAAGAGAAGAATAAGGAGCAGCTTATTCCAGGCTGATGCATCAGCAGCAGTGACACATTCCAGCAGGATCACCAGCTGCACCATGGGGATCAGCAAAACTTCCTGGTGTGCTGGAATACAGAGGGATCCTGCTGTGAACTAACCTGCTGGAAACACTCAGCTGCTCGTTATTTTAAACTGGTATTTCTGTTTTCACAAACAAACCCAAATCCAAATGCGCTGCACGGTGAAATGCTCCCTGTTCACAGAGCAGGAACAAGATTAAGCTCCTGCCTTGGCTGTCAGAGCAGAGGGACCTGTGTGGTTCCAGCTCTGTGCACTGTGCAGGCTCCTCTGTCACCTTGTCACAGCACACAGACCCGCACTGAGGCCACCAAACCCCTCTGTGACAGGAGGCCAGGCTGCCACCAGCCCGTGACACTGCTCAGCACTCACACCACGCTCAGCTCAGCCCCCGAGCATTTCAGGGACATCAAGCCACCACCACCTGGCATTGTTACAAATTGCTACAAACCCCATCCTGCCTGACCCCAGGCACATCCCGAGGCTCACCTGGGATCTCCAGCAGCAGCAGGTACAGCCCAGCTGAGTGCAGACCAAACACCCTCTGCTGTGTGTTGGCTTTGGTGTGCTGGCCCACGTGCACAAAGTGATGCAGCACAGCCACCAGGGCCTGGTGGGACAGGCTGTTCTCAGCAAACAAGGTCCAGACATTCTGAGGCAAGACAGGAATAGTGAGGAATCCTGGAATAACATGGATGTCCAAAACCAGACATTATTCAGATTTTAACAGGTGCCACCGTGACCAACTCCCTATGTATTGTATGCTTTAAAAAGTGTTTTAATAATTATAATACATACACTATATATACACTTAATATTATGCTAAGCTCTATTCTTACAATTTGGGAATAGCTTCCTTCTGAAGCATTCCAGCATATAGAGCAAGAATTGTTTGAATAGTTTATGAATATTTTGCGAATTTCAAGGCAAGACAGATGTGGAAAAGAGAAGGTGGGAGTGGCTGGCTCTTCGTTCAGGTGATGTCACCTCTCTGCTCTCCTGGTCCCCGGTGGCAAAGGGCTCGAGAGCTCGGTACAGGCAGGTAAAGGTGTGCAGCCCACCGGCTGTGATCTCCTCTGCTATGCAGGGATCCAGAGGCTCGGTCTCCGTGAAATCCAGGTCCCACACCGTGTCCACCCACACTGAGAAAAACAAACAAACAAACAAACAAAAAAAGTTTAATAATCGCCAAGGGTGAGATTTCTCTGAAACGCGCATTTCACCCAAAATAAATACCCAAATACCCAAATCCAGCGGGGCACGGGCGCGCAAGGGGAGCCGCTGTCAGCGGCAGGAGCCCCGAACCGGGACACACGGACCGGGACCGAGAGAGACACACAGACACCGGGACACACGGACCGGGACCCAGAGAGACACACAGACACCGGGACACACGGACCGGGACCCAGAGAGACACACAGACACCGGGACACACGGACCGGGACCGAGAGAGACACACAGACACCGGGACACACGGACCGGGACCCAGAGAGACACACAGACACCGGGACACCGGGACAGAGACCGGGACACAGCCTGACACCAACACCGGGACAGAGAGCGGGACCTAAACCGAGACCGAGGCAGGACCGAGAGGGGTACAGAGACCGATACCGAGGCGGATACCGGGACAGAGAAAGAGAGAACGGGAGAGGGACAGACACCGGGACACGGACCATGACAGAGAGCGGGACCGGAATAGGGACCCGGACGGGGACCGAAACCGAGACCGGAACAAGGACCAGGACCGGGACAGAGGCAGAAAGATTGGGATGGAGAGCAGGACCAGGAAACAGACAGACCGAGAAGCACAGCGACCAAGACGGGAACAGAGATCGGGAGACCGGCCCTGGCGGCAGCCGCGGCCCCGCTCCCGATCCTAACCCCGATCCTAACCCTGAT